GGGGTGAGTGCAGATGGCACTTCAAACCCGCGGAAGGACTTATGGAGCAGCCGCGGATTAACTCTTGCTGATTCGATTCGACTTCAGTCTAGCTCTAGTTCTAGTCCGAAGGGTTTCGAAACTCGGCTTAAGCCGTCGTAATTTTAATTCCCGTTTTAATTGGCCTGGGGAATTTATACGGATGTCACATTTTCTTGTGACGGCCGTGATACCACTCAACTGTTATCTTCAGGACTTTTTCCTTAGAATTGGTAACGTTTGAGTGAATGTCATGTTTATTCTGTAATTTCTCTCTCTTATCCCTTCAACCAAAATATAGCTTACAAAGCAAGTTGCTTGTCGGTGAAATAGGTGAGACTGTAATATCCATACAGGCTACTTTTACAAAGTCTACCGTGTTGAGGCAATGTGTACTTTATTCTCTTCAACTACAATGGAACCCTGTGGCCATTTTATATCCTACTGAATGAATGAATGAGTACTATGAATGAAGATCTGGAAAAGATTATTTTGCGATAAAACCGCTATTTGTTACACAAATTTACACAAATTTATTGTATTTTCTGTTTCTGGTGCAATAAAGAGTCTAAATAGATTAGAAAATAATTGTAATCATTTCAATATTGCATCTTGTTTAGTTTTAGATTTATTGATAAAGGCCTATTCCTGTGATCGACACATTAGTGAGTGAATGTGTTTTTTAAACTTAAAACAATAAAACATATATTATAATAGTTATTGAACTAACCATACGAAATCTCTGTTATTACCGATAATAGGAACGTACTAAAGTAGCGTCAAAGAAAAACAATTTTAAAAATAAAATCAGATGGGTCCTATGTTTAACATGAACCATTTATAAAAAAAACTGTCTATTTGAATTGGCAAAAAAATGAAGGATATGTTTCGTGATGTCTGCAACTTCTTCTTCTTTCTATTCAATAGCAACTAAATATATTAAACCCAGAAGGTGCAACGACTTTATCGCATTTGGTCACATTTTTTAGATCTTTCTTTTACATCTCCAACTATTATGTATTAATTTTAATTAATTATTCTTCTTCTTCTTCTTAGTTATCGAAAGTATGCACTTTTTTATAATTATGATATATGTGATGTTTTCAGAATAATTTATTTTAATATATGCAAACGAGAATTATCACCTGCTCTATATTTAAAGTTTGTCTAATATGTCTAACTCTCTATGACACGACCAACTAAACAAAGTTATATGCACAAACGTGTTTTTTTATGCCTATAATGTTATGCCTGTTATCCTGTAATTTCATTGCCTAATCTGACCGTACAACCGAGAGGGGAAGTGGATTGTTAGTAAGGAGGACTAATAATCCCATTGCTAGCAAAGTAACATGTCAGTTTAATCTCCACGCAGTTCCCCCTGGAAACCATGGTAAATTGACTAACATAACATAATGGACATCTTATCATCCTCCACTGGTGCCCCGCCACCGTAAACAGTTAGCCCACCATTCCATTATCATCCATAAGACCCTATAACCGAAACACAGCTTACACAGCAAGCTCTTAGGCGGCTAAAAAAGGTCAGACTGGGGTAACTAAGCAAAAGAGGTTTTATAGTCTACCTCTAAAAAGTAAAAGGTTGGTACTAGTTAGCATCGTGGTTGACTTTTACTCTCTATACTCTACTGGAATACTTTTTATTTAAAATATATTATGTAAGAAGTAATGTAGGTACCTAATAATATTTCTAACCAAAAATAAGAAGATAGGGCAGTGTTATCATTATAATGGTTATCACCACGGATTGTAATATCGGTCATTAACCCAACATGACGCAGAACTTGTCACAAATATTAGTTAAATTTACATGAATTAGTACAAATCAGTTAATAGGACGGTTAGCGAAATTGTTTATTATATTGTATACCTAATAAAGTGGCTAGATCAACTGGACGATACAGACATTAATAAAATAATTACGTCATAACAAGTGGCAAAAAATGTCGCATATGAAATAAATATTTTCATTTTGAATATTGATTTAAACCTATACAGATTACAGAGCATTAATACAGATATATATATCAAATCAATAGTTGATGTCAAAAATAAATAAATAATATACTATTTCTATTATTGTTATACCAATTACATTACTCTTTTAGAGGTAATGGAAACAACTGTAATAAAGAATTATTGCTAAGTGAGACTAAGTATAAGTACATGTTATCTAGTGTCCCCTAAGTCTAGACTTTATCACACATATAGGGGTTACACCCCTATAGAAAAAATATTTGCACGTCATTGTACCGCTATCAAAATAGTATGTTTGAAAATATACAGGGGGTGATCAGTCAACCAAAACGATAAGCCAAACGCCCATCGAAATCGTAAATTTTTAAACAGTCAAACAACCCCACTTCTGGAAGCAACACATTAGTGAGTAACATAATATTTTAGGCTAAAGAAATAAAAATATTACAGTAGAAAATATATTAATTTGTGTTTTAAATAATTATTATAATGCATCAAAATGTTTCCTGATAAATTTTAGCATGCAAAGTCTGTGTACTTGTTCCGTTGCTCTGACATAACGATCAGGCTCTACAAAAATCGGAATCTAAAAAGAATATTACATGTAGTACCTTTTACCATTATTAGTAAATATAGTATTAAAATTGAAATACGAGTAATGTTACTAAGTGAAATACGAACATAATAATGTTTTCAAACAAGTTAGTTGATAAATGAAAAGAAAGTCATCGACTTAACATTGCTTTTTATTCTGATTGCGTTGCTAGGTTACGGAGGTATTATCAATTACTCAACGAATGGATTTTTATGCGATTTCAAGTCGTGAATCATGGGTTTGCCTGCTTAGAACAAATAAATAGGTAAGAAAACTTCTTTCACGTACAATTGTAACTTAAGTTGAGTAACATTTTTATGTTTGATAGTTCTATGTGTTTTGTTTATGTCAGAGTACAATAGGTACAAGGTTAAGTCTACACATTTGTAGCATTTTCATACATTAAACTTAGGTAATTGACCTGTGACCTAAATAGTGTTTACTGTTCTAATACACGAGTATTATGGAGGTAAACAAAAATAAGTTTGTATACATCAAATTGAGCGTTTTTTTATTCTATACAGATACGAGACCTATCTATATTTTTTGGAATGTATTTAAAAAAATAGTACTTTACTCACGTAAATTTTTGTACATTAAACTAGGTACATACATGATAACAGAATACTTGTGTATTATTTAAATTAATGATATAAAATAAAAAATATCTACTTCTATATTGTTTATACCTAGTCAAAAGTGCTAAGTTCAGATATTAATGTTACTACATCCATACATACATATATATAATAAAATTTCGTACCCAGAATCGTTAACTATTATATATCGATTTCTAGAAGGAGCAAGCGAGTTTATTTTCTGATTTGTACCATTGTTATCGACGTCATTTTTAAGATTCTAAATATATTAATAATTTTGGTTACCTTAGTCTCACCTATTTCAGCCGCCAAGCTGCTTGTTTTATAAATTTATATATATTTGGTTGTATGGTGTGAGTAGGAATGGATGAAATTAAAGCACAGAATCATTAGCACTTGGGCTGTAAAAATAAGCGTTGTTACAGCTGCTTGTTTTATAAATTTATATATATTTGGTTGTATGGTGTGAGTAGGAATGAAATTACGGGGCAAAAGCGTTGTTACAATAGTTGTTGACACTCATACATTCTGTTCTAGAGTATTAAGATGACTACGTCTGAGTGAAAAACAAAGGCAGGCAATGTTTGAGTGGCAACGCACGTGCTATATAATAATATGATAAAGTAGCATCCATGGTTCACGTATATAGGCGACGGGTACTGCTTACCATCAGATAGGCAAAACACAATAAAGGAAACCTACATAAAAATAAATCATAACCATAAAAGTACACCCAAGTGCACTGTATTTACTCATACCATATACCACAGACAAATGCAAAATTATAAAGGAATAGGTTCATTCGCCTCGACAGGCGTCTTGTTGCTTTATGAGCAGTAATTAGATGCCTACGTTGATAGCAGACTAGGTTTTGTTAAATAGAACGCCAGTAAGCCTACCGCATTTCAACGTAAACATCCTCGAAATAGTGATAACCGTTTTTGTAATTTTATTTTCAAATGTCGTTCAAATTTAGTTTGAGCCATCATTTTTACTTTGAAGTTAAACATAAAAGAAGAAGAAAGGTGTATTATCAGGTTTTTTCGACTTGTAAATTGAAATAACTTTACAACTCTTATGATTACTATCTAGACAGATTTTGTAAAAAGTTTTCTGCGTGGGTACCTGTCTACATCTCTGAGTCTCGCCTATTTCAGCCTCCAAACGGTTTATTTTGTAAGATGTGTTTCCGTAGTTAGGGGAGATAATAAAATTTCAGGACAGAAAATACATCTTAGTCCTCGGAAATGACAACGGTTGAGTGGTATAGCTGGCTGCAAGCTGCTGTGCCTTCTATGCAATAAAAAGACCTACAAGCCCTCTCGATTCATTAGAAAACTATCGTAGTAATCCTGTTCAATTGACTACCACACGATGTGATAAATGACCTAAATTAATTCTCATCATTCACTGATACTTCATTTGAATATGCATACAAAAGTTATCGTTTAGAAATTTTGATAAATCTCTATAAAATATAAACTTGTCTAACTTCAGAAATTTCATATAGAAACGGTTTTAAACGTAAGTACACGATTAAAACCGTTTTGTGTTTCAAATTTGACAGCTATATTTCCGGTGTTGCCATAACTAAAGACACTTAATAGCCATCGTAAAGATATAACTATTTTAATTTGTCTTGTTTGTTTAGTATTTCAGTTAGGTAATCCTAAACATAGAGCTACTTAAATAGTTACAAGGTCGTTCCGACTGCGTGTGTAATCGAGCCTTTTCTATGTCTAAGTTAAATTAGTTTTAGCTAACAAGTTACGAGTGTCTGCCTTTTCCAGTTGCCTGCAAGGGAAGGACTGACAACACCGCGGAGCGCCCGCGCTCCTGTGGCTAGAAGACCTACAAGTACCCTTCCACATCAGCGACTTAAAAAGGAGGTACTAAATGTTTTTTATTCAATGATCATTGCTTGCTCTCAAGTGGTCACATATGCAGTCGGCTTTATTTTGTTGACATATTTCGAGCTAAAATAATAAATATCTAATAAATTAAAATAATTTTGAACTACCTTGATAGTTGGTAGTAAAATAAATAGGTGAAATGAGACGTCGTCCATCTTGATATAGATCTCGCTTCCATTTTACTTCTAAGAGGGACAATGAAATTGGCAGACAACCTATTTGATAAGAAATCGTACCTAGCTGTACTAGAAAAAGAAAATAACTTTTACCTTACTTTCCTGTTGTAGAGATATTTTTATCTACTCTTCACAACACACAAGTTTTCGTCTTCGTCGATTTTGTTTAAAGTTGCAATTTTATGTACTATTATGCCTATTATACTTTGTATACCGCAAAAATTTACACAATTTTTTGTTTGAGTAGGTAAGCACTTTTACAGACTATTTCATTCGTTACTTGAAAAGAAAATAAATACACAGATATAAGTTTTGAAAACTCTGTAAAGTAAGGGTTGATAGCGCATTTATATATTACGTTTTCTATATTTAGAAATCTCTGGATAGTCCTCCGGAGATGGACTCGCCGGTGGGTAGTACAAGCAGCGATTTGCGAAGGCAAAACGAGGAGCTCCGTGCACGTCTTGCTGGCGAAGCAGCTGACCATAAGCGCAGGCTTGATGCCTACCGTCGCTCTCAGCAAGGGCAAGCAGCATTGGTATCGAGGCTTCAGGCAAAGGTAACTTAAATACTGGAACTGCTATATATTATATGTCGAAGATTTATTTAGTGTAACGACTGTATCTATTTCATATCTGAAAATAATTAAAATTATAATTTTATGATTTTCATGGTATGGTGCATATATTGAAAATCGCTTCCAGAAGTTCGCTATTCCTTCTGGAACTCCCTAGATAGGGATAGCAATTTCCTGTGCGGTCTTTACGGTGCTTATTACATGTTATAATTGTTTAATTCACAGTTTCGATATTTTTTTCTTCAATATGTACATACTTCCTTAAAGCTATTTTCACATTCGCACTGAGTAACGAATACTGATTTCCGTTATTCCGATAGTCCATAACCACTATTTCGAACGAGTTATTTAACTGTCATGCAATTGACTGTTATATGGCTGTATGGGCGCAGTTCCCTTAGCCTTTTATTAAAAACAGAACTAAAAAAAGTGTATGTCATAATATCAGCTGATGGGCAAAAGTTTACTTAAAATTTGTTTGTTTTGAATTTTATACTTCACAAACTGTTACATATTTGTCATAAGAATAATAAATTATGAACATGTATTTACTAAATTTGTTGCATACATTCATGAAAACATCTAAACAATATTTTATGCTGTATAATAGCCTAAAACACAGGTTACAAAATTACTTTTTCCGGTATTACATAGGTGCTTCAATATAAACAACGATGCGCGGAGTTAGAGCATCATATGCTAGAAACGACACCGCGCAGCGATGTGTATAGGCAGCCCAGCAAGACTAGTGTCGCGCTCCCGGCGTCGGCCGCTCTGCCCACTCCCTCCAGCTCGGATTCGCGCAGGGATGAGCACATCAACGACTTGGAGACGGCCTTACGTCGGCTTGATGAGGAGAAACGCAAGTATGAACTTTTTTTTTATGTAATTTGAATGGCAAACATGCTAACATTTCACCTGATGGCAAGCAGAACAGATGTATTATATATTATACATGAACAGCACTATGGATATCTCCTTATCATTTGACATACATCCGTGATACCACTCAGGTGTTTCCATTCCAGATGACTAAGATGTCATTCCTCTTATCCTTTAATTTCACTGCCTTATCTGTACCATACAACAGAAATATTTATATATATACACATTAAATGACCCGTGCACCTTCATCTGCCTTTCATTTCCCCAACCTTTGCAATATTTTTTATTGCAGCTCCGCTCCTATTGGTCATAGCATAATGTTATATAGTTTAAATCCTTCCTCGACAAATGGTCTATCCAACACAAAATAATTTTTCAATTCAAACCACTAGTACCTTCATACAACAAACAAAATCTTCAGCTTTGTAATATTAGTATAGATACATAACTTACAAAGCAAGCTGCTTGATGCCTGAAGTAGATATATACAGGTATATGTTTTTTTTGTAAATACTAATCCTGAGCCAAATATATCTTGTATTTGTCATTGTTGTTGCTGTACTATGAATATTTACAATATTATTTGCAGGTGTGAGAAATTAGTGGCCCAGAACAACTTGTTGCGAGACCAACTGGAGGAGTCCCATCAGCTTAATGAAGCCCTCACTGGGGATCTTCAGAAGTTGACAAATGACTGGGAGGCACTGCGTGACGAGATGGCCATCAAGGAGGATGAATGGAAGGATGAGGAACAGGTTTGCTCCAGGATATTTTTTCTATGTTAAACATATAAATGCATTGTGTTAGGTAATTAGGGATATATTAAAGACATATTTTGTATGCCTGGTGGGTTTTATTGGGCGATGAAACAGTCAGTCAGTAAAAAATGAGGTAGAATTTAAAAATTAACAACCTGCTTTTTGAATTTTAGACAAACTGATGGTTCCAGCAGTGTAGTAAATTTTTGGAGGTTAAGCTATCTCACATTTTTTTTATAATTATACCACAAAAATCTAACTAAAGTTTCCTTATAATAATATTTAACAAATCTTGTTATTGCAGGCTTTCAATGACTACTATTCCAATGAACACAGCCGACTTCTAAGCCTGTGGCGTGAGGTGGTCTCTGTCAAACGCTTCTTCTCTGAATTGCAATCTTCAACCGAACGAGATCTGTACCGTGTGAAGAACGATTTAGATTCGTCTGTTCGTGAGATGGTTGGCACACTGACTGGGTACTCTATTAATGCATTTGCAGCTCAAGGTACCAAGGTATGTAGTTGTAATTAATAAATTATTTAATAACTGTATTTTTAATTTTTTTTGATGGGGTAAACTTTATACAAATTTCTCTGCTTGGATAAATCAGTCTTTTAGTGTAAGCTGTTTTTCGGTTGAAGAGAATGAGGAAGTATAGAAATTACAGGATAAGACGTCTTAGTGCTCTGGAGAGCAACGAATGAGTTGTTATTTTTCATGGATATAAAATGGAACGATGCACCCGACGCTGGCGGTGCCCCAGTGGAAGATAAAATGAGCGTAAAATTGTGTCTGTTAGTTCATTTTGGCAAATGCTAATTTTGCACTACGGTTTCAAGGGGTAACCGCGTGTACATTGCTAGCAAATTATCCTTCTCCTAAAATATGAATGGTATCACGTACATCGTATAATAATGTGATGTCCGTAGTGAATAGACTGGTGAATGAAAAGATTTAAATCTTTCGATCACCTGATGCCCATGGTGATCGAACCAAAGAAAATTAAACTCTTTTGCAATGTGTATTAATTATATTTTAGTTTACTCTTGCCAACATGGTCACAGTCCGAGAGGAATGATAGTATGAATGTAGAATTGTAATATATATATTTATGTAAACTTATAACAGTTCTGTTTGTGACAAATATATTGCGATGTAACATAATATTTTTAATAATGTTGTGTGGAACAGCCATAAAGACCCTATCGTGCCTAAAAATTTGACGTTTCTTTTGATGATTGATGGCATACAGTAGATATATAAAACTCTTCCGTCCGTGTAGAAAATTTTATAGCAAAGGCTGTTGCAAAAACTGATATTCTGATTTTTATTATTGAATCTTTAATTTTCTCTGACACACGCTGTTTTTCTGTAACCTGAGGTGCCATGTACCGCACATATATTGCAACAACCATAAACTCGTAGCAGATTGCATTACGTAGAAATCGTGATTATTCTTAATTTTCCTAAAATTAATTATATTCTCGAATATGATAAAATATCGTACAATTCTTGTAATGTCGTTACTCCATTATCCGCATTTAGTCTCTCATCGGGGCCGTTGTGCGTTGCGCGTTCTGTAGAGCTGGTATTATAAAAGTAGCGCAGTAACTTAGTGTCTTTACAGTCTTCACGAAGCGACCTCACCATTCTGAGGATTTTGTACATATTGTGGCCACTACTACGCACTTCATGACTAACGTGAGCGCCTTTCGCTTCGGCTTCAAAGCAGCCCTAGCCACAAAGAGGTCTATTGTTTATGTAGCACAAATTGCGTACAAGTGCTTGTTTAAGGCACTTTAAGAGAGAGTGCCCCATTGTTGTCCCTACCATAATTTCGAGGCTTTTCCTATTTAGTAGTCGTTTTGTTAGTCGTAAATTTACTATTGAAATTGCCACATTGTTTGTATCAGTAATTTGTGTCCACCTTTAGTTTTGTATTTTAGTTGATCTCTGGCAAATCCAAATTCGAAGTAGCGAGAAGGGTTAGATTTTTTAAGGGTTAGAGTTAGATTTTTTATTGAGGGTTTTGGGATATAGTCAGATGCTAAGACCTGTATAAATCTCTTCTCTCGGCACTGACTGAGTAGTCGTTCTTTATGAAGGTGGTGAGCATGTTGCTGGCGAGCCACAAACACTTGGAAACTCGTGTTGTGACTCAACTCCAGCGTCACCCATAATATCAGACTACTCTTGGTCCGTATATAGTCGAACTAGAGAGCTAAATATTGTATGTCTCTACACAGCCTGATGTCCACCATCCGTCAAGCCAGCACCTGCAGCAAGGGCCTATTACGGGTCTACAAGGCCAGCCGACAACCAACGTTGGTCTTGAAGCACTGCGTGTCGAACTGCGTGACATGTCGTCCCAACGGGACACAGCCGTCGCTGAACTTCGGGAGCGGGACGCGCGTATACAGCGGCTGTTGGGAGAGCTACAGGGATTGGTAAGAGGTTTATATAATATGTAGTAGATTTTTATATACCAGTAATATATAATGGCTCAGTGGTCGAATTTATATATACTAGTGGTCTCCCAGTGGTTAAAATTCGACCATAATTAATTTAAATTATGTTTGAACATTATTAAGGTTCTATTGTTAAAAGCTTGCTTTACACATTAATATGTAGATATACTAATAGTACATACTAGACCCTGCAAATGTTGTGTTGCCCAATAAATTAATATGACTATTAAAAAATAGGGGTTAATGATAGAAGGGTGATAATTTAATACCCAATCATAATAGAATGTAAATAAAAAAAAAAGATATTTTTATTGATTGAGAAAAAATTAATAAAAAATGAAAATAAATCAAATGTGATCACTAAGGGGTATAAAAAATTGATTCATATAAAATTTCATAAACATGTGATAAGACGATGGTTTGTTATCGATATTGTGCAAATTAAATTTACACGAAGTTTTTTTATGTCGGCCAAATTAATTAAAATTATGATATGGGGTCGAAGTCGCGTAGTAAGAAGGCTACGACGCTTTCTTTTTTAGATGCATTATAAAACAAAAAGTTTTCATAGTATTATATTATCAACTAGCTAACCACTTCGCACGGGTGTACATGTATTATACATATAAACCTCCCTCTTGAATCACTCTATCTGTTAAAAAAAGACGTTTCAAAATGCGTTGTGTAGTTTTAAAGATTTAAGCATACATAGGGACGGACAGAAAGCAACAGCGACTTGGTTTTATACTATGTAATAATGATTAATAATATGATACATTTATTCTTCATTACCTCACTATCAGTAGAGTTTACAGTAATGTTTTTAGTATACGTGTATACACTTAAAACATATTGGTAATTGCATATATTTAATATCATCATCATTATTATTTCAGCCCGTATCTATCCACTGTTGGATAATCGCCTTTTCCAATGCGTTCCACCATGTGGGATCTTCCGCCTTCCGCATCCATCCACTCCTGGCTAATTTCTTAATATCATACTTAAAAATATATTTGTATTTTATTAATTTGTAGTTTTCTACTCCATATGACATATCTATATTGCCTTATTCAGGAGGAGCGTTGTGACGCAGCGGAGACGATGTGTTCAGAGGCGAACGTGATGCGTTCCGCCCTAGAAGAGGTGGCACGGGCTCTCATACACGACTCGGAAACTGACGTTACTCCCCCCCACTTGCATCTAGCTGACAGGTACCATGGCTAATGGAATAATTTATATGCTCCTGTGAGCATCGTCATTGTTGTGATGTGTGATTTAATAAATATTCTATTCTATTCTAGGATTGAATTATTGAATTTTGTTCCTGTGTTATAAGAGGAACAAAATTTTTTAAATTAATTTAATAATAAATATTAATTATTTAATAATATATTTAATTATTTAATAATGTATTAAATTTGACGGCCTCGGTAGTCTAGTGGTTTAGTAGACTGCTTTACTTCCATTGGTCGCGGGTTCGATCCATCGCACGGTGCAAACATTTGTATTCATAAGTATGCTTTTTTGTATCGCTCTGGGTGTTTTCTATGTATAATATGTCTATAAAAAATATATCTATGTATTTGTATCAGTTATCTAGTACTCACAACAAAAGCTAGCTTAACTTGGGTTATGGCGCTATGTGAATTGTTCTGAGATTTATTATTATTACAATGTTATTGCCTTAAATCTTCAAGATAGAAATTAAACAAGCTGATGACACTCATGAAGAAGGTTGTAACTATAAACTATAGACCATCAGAAGTAAGGCGGTGTGCTAGATTGCTAGACCACCAAGGCCGTCAAGTATAATAAAGTTTCTAATTTTTAATGCAGATCCCCGAAGCGCAGCGTACCGCAGTCAGCGAATGCTACCGCGTTTGCAGAAAGCACCATATCTGCTGTACAGGCCGCCTTACACAAGTATCAGATTCAAATACACGAGCTACAGGTGATTTTTTTTATATTCTACTAGCAGTCCCGCCAAACGTTGTTTTGCCTTAAAATAAAAAAAAAAATTTACGGGTGGACTACCCCTAACATTTAGGGGGATGAAAAATAGATGTTGGCCGATTCTCAGACCTATTCAATACGCTCACAAAATATCATGAGAATCGGTCAAGCCGTTTCGGAGGAGTATGGAAATGAAAACTGTGACACGAGAATTTTATATATATTCCATAACATCGGTCCAAATTTAAACTAATATTATAAAGAGGTGAAGTTTGTGCTTGTAAGGGGTAATGTCTGGATCTACTAAACAAATTTTGAGAATAATTTTGGCGTTGGATAGTCCATTTATCGAGGTTGGCTATATAACATCATGCTACGAGCAATAGGAGTAAAGTGCAATGAAGAATGCTGCAAAAACAATTTTGAATGCAAAGACAATGACGCTTTTTTTTAAATAAAATATTATATAGTATATACAACATACAACGCTTATTTAATACAGAATATTTAATACCTATTGTTTTTTTATATATTGTCACATTTTTACCATCGCACCGCTTGCTATAGTCAGGGAATTCATCCCCATACGCTGGAACCTAAGTGGTCTCGGACAATGCGGTTTCAGAGGAGCTTCCTCCCGCGTACTTTTAGTTTGTGGAATTACCTGACGAGGATCGTAGTAAAAAAAAAAAAATATTTATTAATTTATTTTTACTATTTTGCTGTCTGTAATCCCTAAGCCAAACAACTCTTACTTTTTATAGAATTATGTTATCAGGTTGAAGAGATTGCTTATACTGATAGGTCTAATTTCTAATATGCTACTTTTATTCTCTATTTGTGCTAAAAAAAAAAGTATAATATTTATTAATTTATTTTTACGATTTTGGTGAAACTGCAAAACACTAGAGAGCCAAATTGACTAGAAAACATTGTGAATTTTATAGCTAGTTTAGAAGGAAAAGTTCAAGATCTGGAAGGTAAAATTTTTGTCCTAAATTATATGGTTGCAATGTAGACACTATACTGATGTGGGTTCGTTTTCTGAATGTTTTAGTAAACGATATATTTTTTTTTTAATATTTTAATGAAAACGTCTTTACAATTATACTAGGTAGTCCTTCTCATTATATTTATAAAGTAACACTTTTAATATTTAAAGAAAAAATGGTCATAATTAGTATAAAAATGACAGCTGTGATCATCATGGCAACCGTTCGCTTGTCCATTCACTACAGGAAAAGCCATTCAAGATTCGGGACCCCAGCAGAAGTAGATTAAACAAAAGATACAACAAGGAAAAAACGAGAACTATAGAACAGAACTTGCTGGTATTTTAGACCATAGGATACCAGTCTATTATTTGGCAACACTGGTTACAAATGCGTGTAATTATATAGTAATTGTAATTGTCTCACTGTTCGAGCATTCCAACTATACAACTTATTTTTGGGTAAGGTCCAAGATGCTGATGTGTACTCTGAAGCCTTGCCTTCTATAATAAGTAATATTAGAATGTACCTGTCTTTATATAGTTTTAAAATATAAACGTGTTGGTAATTAGATGTAAGTTCATATTGTATTATTTGAATAAATAAATAAAAAAACAATGTTAATAGGTAAATTGGATCAAGCCAACGCAGACCTTAACCAGTTATTGCAGGAGAAGGAGTCTATGCAAAAGAGTTTGGAAGCACTCAGAATAGATAAGAACAATCTAGAACGGAACAGAGTAGAAATAAATGCAATGGTAAGTATTCTATAATTCTAATTACATATTACTTTATTTTTTAACAAGATTACATTTTGATCTAATTCCATTTATTAAGAAAACTAGGCAATTAATCATGTTTTTTTAATCTCGGAGACTAAATTGACATGTGTGAATATAAAATTTTCAATTAATGTTACCAGCTATAGCAGGGTAGTGCGGTACTTATTTGTAAATCGTAAAAAACATATTTAAAAAAATTAGTCCCCATGTATCACTAATTCATGGAGTTTTACCATATCTAACCGGTATGGTAAAATTCCGGTGGTAGCTGAGTTGTAAGTCTCTAAAAAATAATCTAACTTAAGAATTAGTGAATTAGTGTATTAGTATATAGTATAGTAACCACTGTAAAAAGTTTAATTTCTCAAGGTGGAATCTCTAACTTCGGATTATGAGAAGCTGCAGAAGATTAACTCGCGTCTTGAAAAAGCTATAGAGGGACTAGAGAATGAGAAGAGAGCATTGAACTCAGAAGTGGACCAATTACACAGAGAGGCATCCGCTAGAGAATCAGTTCTAAGGTAGGTATTTTTTTTATGCTTATTTGTTTGTTGTTACCACACATTGTACTATAATAAACATTAACGCCCATTTCAAAAAAATAATTTACCTGCAGAAAGGTAAACATTATACTAAGCTACCAAGTACTAAGCATGCATTTGTTACCCCTGGTGTTTCAGGTGTCTATAGGCTATGGTAACCATTTACCATCAGATAGTAAATGGTTACCGTATGTTCGATTACCACTATAGTAGTATAAAAAAAGTTACATACGTATATTATTTTTATAGACCTATTGACGTTCTCACTACATATATAAAAGTCCGTAAACTATAGTAACTTTATATCATCAATCAAGTCGTATGCTTGTTTGATTCTATTGAGTAATTAGTCTGCACTATAGGATCAAACAGTATTTAATTATGTATCTCGATCTAATTACATTAGATAAGTAACAGATAACTTTTTATATTTTATAGTAGTGTATCTATTTTTTCATTATATTGGTGTGGCTATGGTATGTATATGTATATATAAATTAAAAAGAATAAACAATATGATTGAAATTATTCAATTTCCATCACACAGAGCTGAAGAGGAGCGTTCATCTCGCTTCCGCTCGGAGCTTGTTACAGTCCGCGAGGAGTTGAATAAGACGGCGCTCTCCCGGGACCTGCTCGAGCAGCAGAAGTTGGAGGCAGACGCTATCATATCGCAAATGGAGAAGAACAGAAGTGAGTTGTTATAATACTTTTTCTCATGCTGTTTTGTGAGGTTTCTGAACACTGACAATCTGATATTACGAGTCCCGTGCTTGTATAGATCTCTGTAACGCATTTGACCTTGTTACCTATATCAGAGAGTTTCACAAGGAACTGTTCTGGGCCCCGTGTATGCAAGGCCCGACTCTATGTAACGCTTTTGACCTATTTCGTTTAATTCAATTTGTCTAATTATCCCTAAGGCGATCTTGAGCTGGAGTTGGAGCGTAATATAATAGAGAGGGGCGACCTACAGGACCTTGTGGAGAAGCTTGAAGCGGTTGTAAGGAATCTCGAATGTGATAAGAAGAAATTACTAGATGAAGTTAAACATGTATGTTGTTTGTTTTGTTTCATTGTTTCTTCTACTTTATATATTAATTATCTGACAGTTTTCTATCTTTAATTTATACTACTGCATCACTAGAGATAGACTGTAAAAAGTTGTCTACTGGGTACCTCAGTCTCACCTATTTCAATCGCCAAACAGCTTCCTTTGTACGATGTTTCCCGATTATAAGGTGCATTTTTTGGCAGTGAAATTGCAGAATAAAAGGTATGACAATTTATTCTTCTAGAATGGCAACGGTTGAGTGATGTCACTAGTGTGCCCTGTTAACATGGCCCTGTGCTGTTTATGCTGTTCTAATTACATTAAAAAACCAAATTATATATCTCATCTTTTCCTATTAATATATGAGATGCTGCGAGGATTCAATAGGTTAGTCGATATTAAAATGTTTCATCACTCATGTTTTCGCAAGAACGCACTGACAAATGCTGTATGGTACGGCTCAAACGATCGCCCTATTAGGCAGAGTGCGTTCTCTTACCAATGGTGTCCTAAGACACTCGGTGTGATAGGTACAGATGCATTGAGGGATTGTTCCACATTATCTAAGTAATTGTTAGTTACAAAATTGTTGTTTCAAATTAAATTATTATTATTTAATTCAACAGCTGGAAGACGAAAAATCTTCGCTTTCGAACCAGTCGGCTGAACAACTCGGTGATCTGAACTCTTTACGTAAGGAGTTGTTAGCAGCCGAACAGAACAGGATGGAGCTAGAAGCCGACAAAGTATCGCTGTACGAGAAAATCAAGTTCCTTGAGAGTGAGAGGGAGAAAGTGGAATTGGAATTAAGACAAGTTATCAGGTTTGTTTTGATAATTATATTATTATTAGTGTTAAAAATGTACAAACAATTTACGTAGATTATTATTTAGTTGGATAGTCGATACTAAAATGCAGAACTGCAGTAAGTAAGTCCTATACTAGAACGTGTGTCTAAAGTAGCACTAGCAAAGGTCCTAGAACCAAAACCAGGTCAAAAAAAATGTATCTATATATTTATGTCAGTTGTCTAGTAACAACAAACAAACGAACAAACTCTAGAAATAGTAGCGAAATTACTGAGTATGCAGGCACAGGCACTTTAGTCATCAGATGGTTAGTTTTTTCGACGTACCAATTACATAAGATATAATTAATAATGAATGTGTAGAGAACGCGGTGAGCTGAGTTCACAACTGACTGCAATGGTTCGCAAGAAGGACACTCTGAACGAGGAAATCATACGTTTGCAGCAGCGACTGGAGCAGGCCAATGAGACTATTGGTCGCATCAACCGAGCATTCGAAGATCATGTCAAAGACGGCGAGGAGAAACAGGTATATATATGATTTGCTGCCTTTACACGTACGCTCTTTCACTTGTGGTTAAGTTATCAGGCAGGAAAGAATGTGCATGTAAATTTAGACAAGGAGAACGAGACAGACCGCGCGCGGTGCCATCCCTGTTCTTCTATCGTGTTTTGTCTTTTAATAATAATTAATTATCTTTGAAAATGGCGAACATGTGACTATGGAGTCGATTTTGTTTAATTAAAATGTATTTTTAATTATATTATTATTTGAGAGAAGCTAATTCAACTAATTTCAGGTCGTCATAGATAGCTTGGATAAAGACAAACAGCATCTACAAGAACAATTAGCCGGTGTACGATCTGAGAAGGACGCTCTGGAGGCAGTGCTGTTTGACACGGCTAATATGCTAGAAGACGCAGACAGTAAGAGGAATAAGCTGGAGCATGAGTTGCAGGAGATACTCGTGCAGCAGGAGAACCATAAAGGTTGGTTAGGAATTTTCTAGTAAGGTGGATCCTGCATAAGATTTTTTAGGTAACAGGTAGTCTAAAGTCGAGTGTGATAAAAAATGACTACCCCACATAATGTAATCTGTTATCACGTTATATTTCATTAAGATCCTTCAGCTGTAAATGGGTAACAAAGACGAGCCGTACAGGTACACGTTTGCAATTATAATATTGGTATATATTTTTTATTATTAAACACAGGCGCACCACTGGTTCGTTTCGTTCGCCGGCTGTTTGTATATTGCCATTTTTGCTGGAGTCACTATTAATAGACTATATGTTGTGCTGAGTCCTCTTGAAAAACAGCAAGTTATAACAGCTTTAATTATTTTTCAGGCCAAATTTCCCGTCTATCGAAAGACTTGGATAATTCGGAGAAGAAATTACGAGACACACGTAACAGCATGCAGCAACAGTCGGGCAAGAAGGAGGCAGAGTACCAGCAGATCATCACGAATATCAACCGGACTACAACAGAGAACATCACTAAACTAAAAGAAGAGAAGGTCAGTGTTACTCTGTTTTAGATTTGAATGTACAGGCAATCCTACCAGTATAATGTATATGTAGATAGCTCAAACAACTAAACTATAGAAGCTGGTCTATTACTAATACAAGAAACTAATATAAGCTAAATACCTATGTAGGTACTTTGCTTAGGGATTAAACGAGATTTCGGTTCACCTGATGATAAGTGATTATTGTTGCACATGAGCACTCGCAATACCAAGGGAACTGCAAGTGCGTTACCGGCTCTTTAAAAAGAAAAATAAAGAAAGAGGAAAGAGCTTGAAAGTTTCAATATCGTATCGTTTCGGAACTATGTATGTATAATAATTGTACATAGCAGTAGGTTTAGTAACATCTTTGCTCCACGACACATATCACCTGAAAAATAATTTAATTTATTTTTTAATGAGGTTCATAGGTTATTTATTTCAAAGATATTCTAATTTCAGAAATTCAAGAGTAACAAAGTAGATTCTCTAAATATATGACTTTATTTTAATAAATAGGTCTATCTGAGGTTACTGTTACGGTTATTTTTATTATAATATTCATAGGAACAACTACGCCAGGCTCTTGAGCACAAATTGAACCAGACAATAGCAACATTAACGAGTGAGAAGGAAGCATCGGATGCGGCTGCGAGGGAGAGAGAGAAGAAACTATTGGCTTCACGCGATCAGCTTATATTACAGCATGACGAAGCCTTGCTCCGAGCAGAGAATGATAAACAGCAGGCTTTAATTATGGGTATTTGTGATAATATTTTTTGTTGGATTAATTATGAGATTCTTACATCTGTGTTGTATAATTTTACATTTATGTTCGTAAATAGTAACACATATTGTGTTAGTACCTGACGTTACTTGGTGGTGAGACAACCTATAGAAAAATATTTTCTAAATTATCTTATTACACATAGTCAGAGTTAAGATAGACCTGTCTCTTAATGGTATTGCGAGCCGGATGTGTAGTGAGATATAACCTCGTGCGGCTGAGTCTGTACGTTCTAAGAGAGCATAGATTATATGTGGTCCTTAGAGCTAGACAAATAGTAAGTTGGTACCAAGTACGAGTGAGTGTAAGTCATAAGCTCTATGCTAGAATGTGCATGGTCCTTTGAGCCGGATATGTAGTGAGTTATTACCGCGTGCGGTTGAGCCTGTACGTTACAAGAGAGTATAGTCTCAGTATGGCCCTTCAAGCCGGATGTGTAGTAGCTTTATAGATCTATGCTAGAATATGTGTGGTTCTTCGAGCCGGATATATAGTGGCCTTGCAGAACTATGCTAGAATATATGGACGACCTCGATGGTCTAGCGGTCTAGTACACCGCTTTATGTTCGACGATTGCGGGTTCGATTCCTTGCACGGCACAAACATTTGTATTCATGAGTATAATTGTTTGGGTTTGGGTTTGGTTTTCTATGTAAAATATGTATGTATTTACGAAAAAAATAATCTATGTATTTGTATCAGTCGTCTAGTATTCAAAAAACAAGCTTTAGCTAGCTTAATTTCGGTCTAGATGGCGCTGTGTGAATTGTCCTGAGATTATTATTATTATTATTGGTCTTATCTGTAAGGCCAATAATAATAATAATAGTAAAGTAATGAGAGACTTGGCATGTCCCGTTCTCGCTACTAGTCACCAGCTTAAGCTGAGGAAAAGAGAATAATAATAGTATGTTAGTATGTGTGTGGTCCTTCGAGCCGGAGTTGTAGTGGCTTTGCAGATCTATGCTAGAATATGTGTGGTCCTTCGAGATATGTGTAGTGGGTTAGTGCTGAGTGCGGGTACGATGTCGCAGCGCACCAGGAGCAGCAGGCGCTGGCGGAGCGGCTGGAGGAGGCGGCGCGCGCGCTGCGCTGCGAGCAGGCGCGCGCCGAGCGCGGCCGCCGCGACGCCGCCGCCCGCGCCGACGGCGACCGCGCGCACCTCGCGCGGCTCAACGACGACCTCGCCACGCTCAAGACCAGGCTCGACGAGGCCAAGTACGCACTCCACACATTTCACTCTCCTCTATCCACGCGCCGACGGCGACCGCGCGCACCTCGCGCGGCTCAACGACGACCTCGCCACGCTCAAGACCAGGCTCGACGAGGCCAAGTACGCACTCCACACATTTCACTCTCCTCTATCCACGCGCCGACGGCGACCGCGCGCACCTCGCGCGGCTCAACGACGACCTCGCCACGCTCAAGACCAGGCTCGACGAGGCCAAGTACGCACTCCACACATTTCACTCTCCTCTATCCACCAACTATATATCCAAATTCAATAATAATTTATTTATGTCAAGACCATTTTCGACGTTTATGAACGTCATTTTTCCATATTATAGTTTTTTCCACCCTATATATCCAGTTCAGTATATAGATCTAATTGAGAACTGGCAAGAAACACAATTATATACCATTTACAAGTTACGCTCTTTCACTTTTTATAATAATTCATAATCAATATATATGCGGGAATATAAGTAATTGTACAATTGATAGTTTATCATTTTTCAACACGTCTTTGAAAAATACAATTTGTACTGTAACTGCACAACTGCATTGCGCGAATGACATGCTATGCTACACTTGTAAAATTATAAATACAACTTCCACTACATACCTAATAATAAATCAGTACGATACAAAATCAAAGCTCTTTGGACTAGCGTAAGGTCTTCTGTATTATACATTAATCTGTAATTTCTTTTGATCTATTATGTCCACATTTTTAAATTACTAGCCTCAATTACACGCAAGTAGTCGAGAGTTGTTAATTATTTATGAAATTGAATCGATGAATGAAACACATATATCAATTTAATACGAGAGAACCGTTGTAGACTTGCCCCTTGCGTTGGAATAAAAATATTAAACGAAACGAATCACAGTGATTGCGTCCACAACAGCGGTAATGGACAATGTGTTCGAAATAACAGCCTTGACAGATGGTAATATTTATTATAAATGGTATTTTAAAGAGTTATTTATATATTCATTTATATTTATTCTAATTAGATGAGTATTTTATACAATCAGGGCTACGGCAGAGGACGATTGCGCGCGCTACGAAAATCGAATCAAAGAGCTACATCTGGAGAAGGAAGCATGCAACCGCGAATGCAGTGAGGTGCGCGCTCAGCTTTCGCTGGTAGAGGACAAATACGACAATGCGTATGCGCAGCTGCAGGATACCATGAGGAAACTTAAGGAGCGTAAGTTTTATGAAAAACTTGTCTTTTATGAAATTTTATTAAAAGATATTTTGTAAGTTTGACGGCCTTGGTGGTCACGATGATCGCGTAGTTTAAAAATTCAATAAACACTTCTATTCTATCTCTCGACTGTATCACATAAAGCTCCCAAGTTATAGATGCTGTAAGTCATATCGAACAACTACGGGTTCACACGATCGATCAAGGATGTACTAAATATCGGTTCAATAAATGAAAAACAATATAGGTACAGGCGGTTGAGTATATTTTTTCCAGAATTGAACAGAACCGGTTGAATCGAATGTAACATACAAACATTCCGTTTGACCATAATAAAATGCCCAAAAATCTTAATAGCGCCTTTTACATTTATTACTAACGCCATCTAGCGACACAAGTGGAGACTGCTATAAACGTGTAGACATCCCCTTATGAATAAAGATTATTTGTATTCTCCGGCAGTGGAGAACGAGTCGGAGAGCCTGCGCAAGGAGCTGACGGACGTGCGGCGACAGCTGACGGCGTGCTGCGCCGAGCGTGACAAGTACAACGTCACGTGTCGCGACCTGCGCGAACACGTCAAGCGCGCAGAGCACGAGCGACGTGACGCAGCGCGCGCCCGTGACGAGGCCTACCACAAGATCGCTGGTACGTATCTAGAATGGAACATCTAAAACGATCTAATTTGTGATGCTACACACCTTTGAACAACCTTTTAACAGCTGCCTTTACGCGACTCATTCTTTAACGCGCGATCAGGGGCATACGCGATTTAACGCAGTAAATACAGCGCGTGCATTCGTGAGGGATCATATTTAATTATTTTTTTTGTTCTCTCTTTCGCGCTTATTTGCTGGTTAAATCAGTCATGTCATTTCACAAAAAAATATTTTTTTAATTTGATTGATTTTATTTTCAGAGACGTGTTTAATATTTATTCAGTATCAATAAATGTATACTCATAATGATAATTAATTATTAAAAAAAAGACGATTGTAGAATGCGGGAATGCGAGATAAGGCGACGCGCGCGGTTTCTCCTATTCTTTGTTTGTTAAAAAAAGTAAATCTGGTCATCATATATATTCATTGAATAAATTTTTAGTATTTAGATGTTTTAGTTAATTTCTTGATCCTCTATTTAGGCCTCGAAGAGAACCGCACTTCATTAGAACTGGAAGTAACGCGCGTACAAGCGCTGCTGAAGGAGGCGGAGTCAGGTGGGGAACACGTGACTCGCGAGCTACGAGCTGCCGAATGTCAGCTGAAGCGGGAGCGGGCCGCGCTCGAACAGGCGCACCACGACCTCAAGGAGCTACAGTCCAGGTCAGAATCTCTAATAATTTTATCTCTAGTTTTAATTGTAGAAATGTGAGAGATGCGAGATATCAGTGCGGAAACTGTTTAGGCAATCAGTATAGGTATCGTTAGATTTATGTCACTTATATACAAATTATACAAGCAGTTGGTCCTTTGGAGTTCAGGAAACAATTTTTGGAAAGATATCCTATAGTGACGTCGTATAAGAGTTCTTGTTACTTTTTGTCCTTAGACTGCAGAACGAGAGCGAGGAACGCGAACGAATGTCGCAGGAAGCGGCGACGGCGCGTCGACATGGCGCCGAACTGGAGGCGCTGCTGAGTGCCGCCCGCGCAGACCTCGCCGCCTCCCGACAGCGCGGTGCCGACCTCGAGGAGGCCTGCCGCGCGCGCGATCAGGTACTATACTTCGCTAACTTACAGGAGGTGTACGGCGACGACCCGGAGGAGGTACTGTACGTTGCCGACGAGGTCTGCAGACAGAAGCGACTGATTCGTTCTTCTGTCTTTATCTCTAAGATCGGTGTGTATGCTATTGCTATATGGCGCAGAGATTAATAGAATAGTGACGACGTATTATGTGTCTGTTTCTCATCTATGTCGCTACTAATTTGTGGAAAGTTTAAAGTTGTCAACTCCCTCCTGTAAATACAGCACAGAGACCAACTTGTTTGTCATCTTTCGTGTCAATTACGATACATCATTTTATTAGTTCAGTCAACATTGTTTTTTGGAATGTAATAAAACCAATTTTTCAGGAACTGGTGTTGCGTCTTGAAGATTGTCGCTCTAAAGAACGCCGTCTCGAAGAGCTGAAGCACAATTTGGAAGTTTGCCTTGCTGATGCTACCCAACAGATACAAGAGCTGAAGGTAATGTTATATTATACCACTGAACAGGTTACAAACGTACTTGATAATCCTTCAACCATGGTCATAACAACATTGTATTGCGGTTGTACTAGCCGAAACGCGGGAGGTGCACGCGAGGGTGCACTGCACATCTCTCTTGACACTCCACAATTCAGCGTCGGTCGTTGCAGCCGTAAAAGAATACTGTATATGATTCTGATAGTTGTCCTCTAAGCTACTTGGTGAAGCAATGATGGTAACAGTGAGTGGTGGTCGACAGGCGCGGCTGGGCGGATGCGAGGGCCGCGGCCGGGCACTGGAGGCGTCGCTGAGCCAGTGCGAGGCCGGCAAGCGCGAGGCGGAGGCGAAGCTGTCGTCGGTGGCGCACGCACTGCGGCGCGTGTGCGGCGTGCAGCCCGACGGCAGCGTGCACGCGGCCGCGCGGCGCCGCCTCGCCAGCCCCGCGCGCCGCTACAGCCCGCACAGAGGTGCGTGCTCCACTGACGTGTTAGTGATAGGCGGCGTGCGGCCCGCCGGCCCCGCGCGCCGCTACAGCCCGCACAGAGGTGCGTGCTCCACTGACGTGTTAGTGATATCCACTGACGTGTTAGTGATAGGCGGCGTGCGGCCCGCCGGCCCCGCGCGCCGCTACAGCCCGCACAGAGGTGCGTGCTCCACTGACGTGTTAGTGATAGGCGGCGTGCGGCCCGCCGGCCCCGCGCGCCGCTACAGCCCGCACAGAGGTGCGTGCTCCACTGACGTGTTAGTGATAGGCGGCGTGCGGCCCGCCGGCCCCGCGCGCCGCTACAGCCCGCACAGAGGTGCGTGCTCCACTGACGTGTTAGTGATAGGCGGCGTGCGGCCCGCCGGCCCCGCGCGCCGCTACAGCCCGCACAGAGGTGCGTGCTCCACTGACGTGTTAGTGATAGGCGGCGTGCGGCCCGCCGGCCCCGCGCGCCGCTACAGCCCGCACAGAGGTGCGTGCTCCACTGACGTGTTAGTGATAGGCGGCGTGCGGTGCCGGCCCGCCGTGCCCCGCGCGCGTGCGGCCCGCTACAGCCCGCACAGAGGTGCGTGCTCCACTGACGTGTTAGTGATAGGCGGCGTGCGGCCCGCCGGCCCCGCGCGCCGCTACAGCCCGCACAGAGGTGCGTGCTCCACTGACGTGTTAGTGATAGGCGGCGTGCGGCCCGCCGGCCCCGCGCGCCGCTACAGCCCGCACAGAGGTGCGTGCTCCACTGACGTGTTAGTGATAGGCGGCGTGCGGCCCGCCGGCCCCGCGCGCCGCTACAGCCCGCACAGAGGTGCGTGCTCCACTGACGTGTTAGTGATAGGCGGCGTGCGGCCCGCCGGCCCCGCGCGCCGCTACAGCCCGCACAGAGGTGCGTGCTCCACTGACGTGTTAGTGATAGGCGGCGTACGTGATGTATTATAGTTGCATAGCGTATGCACGAGGGCCAGCGTCGAAAGCTGGGTTAAGGTTAGTAATCGTCGCCGCGTGTGCTGCGTGCAGTGCTACGGCAGTGTGCATACTACCAGTCGGGCTATAGCGGAGAGATAACTCCTACGATGCTCAATTAGCTACTGTAATGTATTAAATCAAAGACGATCTATCACTGACTGGTTTATTAAGATGAAAATAAAAGTGTATTGTGGGTACATAAGAAAAATAAATATATACAACCTAAATCCCGATATTGTTTGTTGATAATTAAAACAAATGTAATGTCACAGGTCGTGATCACTCGGAAGATCGCAACGAGATTATAGATGTGGATCCGGAGTTGATAAAGAAGGGCGTAAGGAATCTAATGCACGAAGTCTGCCAGATTGAACGTGAAAAGGTAAGTACTTAATATTTATTCATTTAATCCAAGTTAGTCAAACGTACACCACTTAGTTAATAAATGCAATATGTAATATTTCACTGCTTATATAAATCTTTTCCCATGACACATAATTTTAAAAATCAATATCCGGCTCGAAGGATCACAATGTACGGATGCTAGGTGTAATTCTTTTGTACAGATAAAGTACTAAACAATAATATTAATTTAACATTATGTTGTAGGACGACTACAAGTCCCAACTGAATGTATTCAAGAAACAGCTAAAAGACGCGACTGAACAGCAAGGCAAGGGCGAAGGCAAGCTGCAGTCGGTAACGAGCAACTTACGCTCCCTGCAGGAGGAGAAGTCTCGCTTACAGACCGCACTCGGACAGAAGGATGCTCAACTTAATGCATTGGTAAGTTAAATATTAACATAATACAAATAACGGCATCTAATCCTAAGGTAAGCAGAGCTTGTGTTATAAGTACTAGACAACTGATATGAATACATAGTTTTTTTTTGTAAATATATAGAAAACATTCAGACCGATACAAACAATCATACTCATGTATACGAATGTTTGCACCGTGCGAATCGAACCCGCGACCATCGGAAGACCACCTATGACGTTAAATTGATTTTATTTTATTTTTGAAACTTTTTAACACGCACAATCACATTGTGGACTCACCTTCCAGCAATAGTATTTTCGAACCGACAATATATATATATTGAAACATTCAAGGTCTGATTAGCTTGGAACTAGATAGCGCTATGTAAGTTACCTAGGGATATTGTCGATGATTCTAGTCAGTCAGAAATATAAACTGACAGACATATTTTTTGAAGGTATGCTCTCATTGTTCATAGACTGAAGGTCCATGCCCTTTTTGCGTTTTATTTAGTTAGTCTATTCGTTTTTTTTTCGTTTTGCTTGCTCCGCGAAAATATGTCTTGTGGCTTCCCGCAGTTTATCAATATATTTTTTTATTTGTCGGCCAGTTTCTTATTGAAAATTCTTGGATTCAAATTAACTAGTACATTTTCAAATTTAGCGTAAAGCATAGGTAAATTATATTGAACATTATTTTGCAGAACGAGTCAACTCAGACGAAGACTGTTGAGATCAGCAATCTAAGAGACAAAATTACCAGCCTCGAAGCGACCCTCAGTTCCGTTGCAGAGGAGAAAGTACAGAATGAGGTATATAATTTCCTGAATTAAATAAAATAATCAATACATTTAAATAAAAATATGAATTGAATGTACATGTGAGAAATAGTTATCATGAATATATTTATGTATTATATGATATTTATGTTTATGTATTATATACTATTTATGTTTATGTATGTTCGTATTTATGTATATTACTTTAGTATTAGATTATACAATTTGTTATTTGAATTTTATTTAGTAGCATTTGAAATGTTTTTTTACACCGGTTATTACCCACTCGGTACAACCTGTGCCGCTGTTTTAGGTAGATCTCTTCTAGGGATAAGTCAACCCTTGCTCACATTATCTCTAAATTAAAATATCTTTGTATTATTTGTGCAATAAAGAAAATATATATAAATTTGTATGCTTACATTATGGCGTTGTACATTGAAAGAAAGTTATGAATGGATAATTAAATAAATAAATTTTACGCTAATCTTTGTAAAATATTATTTTAGTGTTCCAATGAAGATTATTATTGTTCATTATATTTATTTAACTTTTATGGTGAAAAGAAATTGTTACGTAAAAAAAAGATTTGCTTTTTCTGTCTGTAATGGATAAACGATAATTAGTAACCAATTTTAAAAATTCATAAATATTATACAAGCTGTTCATTATAAGTGACTAATATGGGCTAATTTAATAAAAAAACGAGAAATTGCACCAGTATGAAAATCCATAGTAAAGTTTAGATATTTAAGATGTTTCCGGCTATTAGGATTGTATTGGTTCAACAGGCTCAATGATTTTCATAATTATGTCTTGTGTTACAGAACAAATCAGATAGTTTCCGCGTACAATTGGCCGAGCGTGTACAAGAAGTAGGACAGTTGAGGGAGGCCCTGGCCGCTGCCGAAAGTAACATAATTTTATTTATTTATTTATTATCAATTAAAACAAATTACAATCAGTACCAGCATTTTTGTTGTTGAATATACAACTAATTGATTTGTGATATTCATTGTCTATATGAAAGTAATTCATAAAGTTATTAATAACTTTATTCGCGGACTTATGGAGCAGCTGAAGGTCTGCTGCCTGATACGACTTTAATTTGAACCGCTAGGGGTTTGATTTTGACCCCAGTATGTTGGACATTGTATTTCGTATTTAGCTTCTCCTTTGGGTCAGTGTGCGTGTTTTGACCTTTTGAATCGACTAATTCCTACCTGACGGATACGACTTTAGTCTGAGGGCAGTCCGCTAGGGATTGGAAACTCCGCTCGGGCCGTTGTATATCCTAAAATTCTTTTCATTGATGAGTCTAGGTAGCAAAATTTGAAAAAGGGCGAGCACAATAGAACTATACAGGTTGCAGTGATACAGACCTGTAATAGCCTGTAAATGTTAATAGCCCAAAATCTACAATAAAAAGAAATGGTAATATTTGACCGCGTGGTACAGGTCGGGCTGCGCGACTGGACGTGCGACGCGCGCAGCTCGAAGGCGACGTGCAGCGTGCCGCCGTCGGAGCACGAGACCGCGACCACGCGCTCAAGGTATGTACCACCGCCGTCACGCTGCGTCGCAGCTCGAAGGCGACGTGCAGCGTGCCGCCGTCGGAGCACGAGACCGCGACCACGCGCTCAAGGTATGTACCACCGCCGTCACGCTGCGTCGCAGCTCGAAGGCGACGTGCAGCGTGCCGCCGTCGGAGCACGAGACCGCGACCACGCGCTCAAGGTATGTACCACCGCCGTCACGCTGCGTCGCAGCTCGAAGGCGACGTGCAGCGTGCCGCCGTCGGAGCACGAGACCGCGACCACGCGCTCAAGGTATGTACCACCGCCGTCACGCTGCGTCGCAGCTCGAAGGCGACGTGCAGCGTGCCGCCGTCGGAGCACGAGACCGCGACCACGCGCTCAAGGTATGTACCACCGCCGTCACGCTGCGTCGCAGCTCGAAGGCGACGTGCAGCGTGCCGCCGTCGGAGCACGAGACCGCGACCACGCGCTCAAGGTATGTACCACCGCCGTCACGCTGCGTCGCAGCTCGAAGGCGACGTGCAGCGTGCCGCCGTCGGAGCACGAGACCGCGACCACGCGCTCAAGGTATGTACCACCGCCGTCACGCTGCGTCGCAGCTCGAAGGCGACGTGCAGCGTGCCGCCGTCGGAGCACGAGACCGCGACCACGCGCTCAAGGTATGTACCACCGCCGTCACGCTGCGTCGCAGCTCGAAGGCGACGTGCAGCGTGCCGCCGTCGGAGCACGAGACCGCGACCACGCGCTCAAGGTATGTACCACCGCCGTCACGCTGCGTCGCAGCTCGAAGGCGACGTGCAGCGTGCCGCCGTCGGAGCACGAGACCGCGACCACGCGCTCAAGGTATGTACCACCGCCGTCACGCTGCGTCGCAGCTCGAAGGCGACGTGCAGCGTGCCGCCGTCGGAGCACGAGACCGCGACCACGCGCTCAAGGTATGTACCACCGCCGTCACGCTGCGTCGCAGCTCGAAGGCGACGTGCAGCGTGCCGCCGTCGGAGCACGAGACCGCGACCACGCGCTCAAGGTACTATCTGTGGAAAACCTAGTGCTGTTGTCAGTATTATATATTTAAAATACCAACATGTTATACTGCACATACCACTATATCACACTGCATGCTCCTATTACCAATTTACCATAAATTGAATTATAAATACTAAAGGACAACGTTTAAAAGCGATTTAAAATTTTCTAGAAACTTCAAGAACGCTGCGATGGATACGCCCGTACGGTTGCATCTCTAGAGGACCGGTGTACATCGCTAAAGGGTACAGTGGAGCAACTATCGACGTCGCTGCAGAAGGCTGCGAGCGCCGAGAGCGAGCTGCGAGCGGAACTGAGCAAGACTCAGCGGCAACTCACCGAGGCAAAGAACGGTGAACACACAGCCGCTGACAAGCTCAGGCAATTACAGAAGAGTATTGGTTAGTATTTATTTTTTATTGATGATAATGGAATGGTGCCCTAATTATAAAAATGGACAGTCCCGGTCAAAACGGGATGTCTGGTCCCGTTAAGTATACATTGTATGTAATGTTTATTATATATTTGTAAGTTGTGCAGAATGCACCGTTTTTTATATGTTTTTGTTTATTTATTCCGTAACGATTGTTTTTGAAATTATACAATTTTTGCAGCTAATATATTTATCTAACAGAAAAGAACGAAAACTGCTCTTATAAAGTTTCCAACTGCGTATTGTTTTTAAACTGTTGTTAAATATATAACAGTCTTAAAGTTACATGGAAACCTTCACCTATATAGCTATATATTGTTTATGTTTTTTATTGTCTATTATTTTATATCGATTATTGTCTATTACAAAGTATTGTACATTAATCTAGTCTTATTTTATTTGATACATATAAATGTAAAATTTCTTCATAAAATCGACTTTCTATCATTAAATTTACCTTAATATGTACAAATAAAGTTCCTACGCTCACAAAAGTTTTACTATGTTATGTATAAAGTAGTATCGGTTTAGTTATTATTATTATGCCTATATAGTATCGTTATACCTTTTCCTTTATTTCTCTAGTCCATTCTTGCGGCATCTATCACTTTCTGTATTCTCTCCTCTACCCAAAGGTTGTCTGGAAGAGATTGTTTATGTGACTAGACCGACTTTTGTAACTTATTATTACTATTTATACTTTTGGTGCAATAAAAAGGAAATAAATAAATATATTTGTATTAGCTACATGTGAAAACGATAGACGTGTGCTGAGTGAAAAACTGGAGAGCGCGAAGACTGCGCTTGGAGAAATGAAGCGTCTGAACTCCACCCTCGAGGACCAAGTGCACCGCCTCACAGCACAACTCGCCAACATCGAGGTGCAGAGGTTGGTCATGCAATACTTAACCTAATGCTGCAGATGTTATTATATAGAGTTGAATAGAAATAATCTTTATTAAAGTTGAAATTTGCTTTCTTAAATAAATACTTAAGGTCGGGCCTTAAGTACCTATTTATTTTAAGGCATTTTAGTTGTGGTTTCTATTCTACAGCAATATCCGAATTCATTATTATTCTGCCTATTATTTTTTACCATAAAACAAGTTTATTAGTAAGCTATGAGTAGGTAACTCAAATATTCAAGCTAAGGTAAGTAGGTTGAAAGAGGTACTTTCTAATGAAAACTCAGTAGTGTTCCTCTCACAGACAAAATCATTATTAACATAACGTACGTAATTACGTAATTTAAATAATTTACTGTTGTGTATATTATTATTCACATAGCAAAAGTATATTTTCTTTGATCATCCACTACATACCGCGTTGTCGGAACCTTTAAAACTTTTTCTTCCCTCATTCGTATGTCGTACCTACCGAACTTTTTTTTAAATTTTGGAGTCAACCTATTCGTCTCAAAACCCGTTTCTACTATATTATTAATGATTACTAAACGCTAAAGTTTAAAAATAAGTATTATCATCGTCATCATCATCACCATCATTATCATTATCACCACCATCATTATCATCATCACCAGCCCACTGCAGTCCTCTGCTGGACATACACCTATGTACATATATTATTAGTAACGGAATGATGATGATAATTCGTACCAGGTCAGGCCTCGAATCCCAATTGCGTATGACAACTTGGGACGGCAAGGAGAGTTGCGACAGCGAATTGGAGCGAGAACTACACAACCTGCAGCGCGAACGATCCGAATTCAAGGCCAAGTGTGACGCCCTCACCGACACTGTCAGGAAGTTGGAGGCTGAAAGACGCATGGTCAGACCTTCGGCACTACGCAGCAAGAGCCATGACAGGACCGAAAAGAGTGTGTACTACTCAGACTTGGATTCTGGTGAGTTAGTTCTTATTTTGTTTGATGTCTTCGGTAGTCTAGATTTTCAAAACACCGCCTTACTTCCAATGCTCGCGGGTTAGATTCCTCGCACAGTATATTTGTATTTATATTATGTATGTTTCCTATTTTTTTTATGGATGATAATGAAATGGTGCACCCACCTGGGCTAACGGTTAGCGCTGGCGGGTACCAGTGGAGTATGCTAAGAAGAGCGTGAGGTCAAGTCAGTTAGCCTATCATGACAAATTCATACGTAATTTATCACGATGGTTTCAAGGGGAACCGCGTGGAGGTCAACTTAAAATGGTACATTGTTAGCAATGTGATTATTAGTCCACATTACTAACAATTCCCTTCTACACTGGTTTCTATGTACACATATTATTTATGTAATTAAAAAAAAACAACATATATTATTATGATATAGTACCATAAAATAAGATCTGCTTAGATGGTGTTATGTAAATTCTCTTGGGGTTGTTATTATTATTATTATTATTCTTAATTCCCTTCCCCCTGCGTTTGTATTTATGTAGGTCCAGATTCAACGAAGGATTCCATTCGTGGCCCCTCTCATATCTGTACGTGCTATAAAGACTCAGCTGTGAAAGACAAGAGTTACACTGATGTCAACTTCTTGGAGCTTGAGAATAGGGAACTGCGAATGAAGATCAGGAGACTGGAGAAGGAGCTCGCTGATAAGGTGCCATTTTCATTTATTTGCTAACTGTTTTACTTCTCTTAGACGAGTCATGTCAAAGATACGGCCCGAGGAATAAGTGATAATATACATACATTTACCTAAAATTGATTTTATAATATATTTATATACAGGACTCGGAGCTAGCATTAGCCCGCAGCAGGTGCCTGGGCGACCTGTCCACGTGTTCCCCGAGTCGGCGTAGCGACGTCGACCGTTACCGCCAGGCCGCGCTGCAGGCCGAGAGACTGCTCGAGACGCGGGAGGCCAACCATCGACAGCAGATACTGAGGCTCGAGAACCAGGTGAGTGTTACCGCGCCACTAAACGCTGTTTCAAATACTCGAATATTGCGGAGATATTTGATTCTTGAGTATAATGGACATGATGGTAGGGAAAAAAAATTATAATATCGAAATATATATAACTCAAAGGTGACAGTTGTAGTGATAGCCCTTATGGACATGATATGACGTAGGATGAATGTTTATATGAAATAATATTACAATATATTATATATATTGCTTGGGACAGATATTCTTATTTTTGTTTTATTTTAAACATACCATTTTTGTTTATTTTATTTTAGATGCTAATGAAATGGTCCACGTACTAACGGTTTACGTGGGCGGGACACGATTTGAGAATGATAAGATGAATATGAGGTCAGGTCAGTTAGCTCATCGTGACAAATTCACTAGGAATGTATCACGATGGTTTCTAGGAGGAACCGCCTGGAACCACTTACCTTTAGGTCTGCCACATAATTGATTGCCATTCCAATTACATAGAAATACTTACATACATACTTGTCAGTGTGGTAGTAGAGTGTAGTTTACAAAGGTGCGGATGAGAAATATAAATATTTGAAAAACATACTTGGCCCGCAGCGGACGAGCCGCGCGCGGTAGTAGAGTACAGTGGCCCGCAGCGGACGAGCCGCGCGCGGTAGTAGAGTGTAGTTTACAAAGGACCGTCTCGCAGGTACGCCCACTCTCGGAAGCCGCGCGCGATACTGCGGGCCGCACTCGGAACGCTGCGGACCGTCTCGCAGGTACGCCCACTACTGTGGCCCGCAGCGGACGAGCCGCGCGCGACGTGCAGCGACTGCGGGCCGCACTCGGAGACTCGCTGCGGACCGTCTCGCAGGTACGCCCACTACTGTGGCCCGCAGCGGACGAGCCGCGCGCGACGTGCAGCGACTGCGGGCCGCGGACCGACCGTTCGCGGACCGTCTCGCAGGTACGCCCACTACTGTGGCCCGCAGCGGACGAGCCGCGCGCGACGTGCAGCGACTGCGGGCCGCACTCGGAGACTCGCTGCGGACCGTCTCGCAGGTACGCCCACTACTGTGGCCCGCAGTGGACGAGCCGCGCGCGACGTGCAGCGACTGCGGGCCGCACTCGGAGACTCGCTGCGGACCGTCTCGCAGGTACGCCCACTACTGTGGCCCGCAGCGGACGAGCCGCGCGCGACGTGCAGCGACTGCGGGCCGCACTCGGAGACTCGCTGCGGACCGTCTCGCAGGTACGCCCACTACTGTGGCCCGCAGCGGACGAGCCGCGCGCGACGTGCAGCGACTGCGGGCCGCACTCGGAGACTCGCTGCGGACCGTCTCGCACGCCCACTACTGTGGCCCGCAGCGGACGAGCCGCGCGCGACGTGCAGCGACTGCGGGCCGCACTCGGAGACTCGCTGCGGACCGTCTCGCAGGTACGCCCACTACTGTGGCCCGCAGCGGACGAGCCGCGCGCGACGTGCAGCGACTGCGGGCCGCACTCGGAGACTCGCTGCGGACCGTCTCGCAGGTACGCCCACTACTGTGGCCCGCAGCGGACGAGCCGCGCGCGACGTGCAGCGACTGCGGGCCGCACTCGGAGACTCGCTGCGGACCGTCTCGCAGGTACGCCCACTACTGTGGCCCGCAGCGGACGAGCCGCGCGCGACGTGCAGCGACTGCGGGCCGCACTCGGAGACTCGCTGCGGACCGTCTCGCAGGTACGCCCACTACTGTGGCCCGCCGCACTCGGAGACTCGCTGCGGACCGTCTCGCAGGTACGCCCACTACTGTGGCCCGCAGCGGTTTTTTACAGCATCACCGCGGTTTCAACATAAAACTCTATTGCCAAGGCACAACGAATCTGTCCTCTGCCTTTTACTAATAGGTATAATATTTGCAAAAACTTTTTTTTACGAGTGGTTTTTTCTCCGCTAGGATCCAGCGCTGGACTCGTACACCCTAGAACATGAAGCAAGGAAACTGGACAGCACGCTAACACACAGTCTGCCGCCGCTGAACGACAGCTACGACTCCTCTAAATAAAGTAAATATCAAATGACAGTATTATTATACTAAGTCCACTTTGTAGCTAACTGAATGGTTCGTATGGATATAGTGTTAGAGGAGTTAAGTGGTCAGTTAATAATAAAACCTCTAAAGGATCCTTCTTGAAAGGAAGGATTGGCAAAGACAGAAGTGAAAACATTTACGCAGCCGAAATTAATTTAAACAGTATAATATATACTAAAAACAGTATACTATATCAAATTTAGCACTAAAGACATGTCAATCTTTTAGTAAAAGGGTGAGTAACCGTTTTCATCAACGGGCCAATTTGAATTTTAAAAAAAATTGTCGGACCGTCATAACACAGTTATTAAAAATAAAAACTCGCGCAGACGCCACGCGGTTGTATTGCATACGTGAACAAGTCGCCGACAAGTGAGTAACTTGTCAGAAAAAATCATTCGGTTTAGTATGCACTTACTTCATTGTAATTAATTTTATAACAATATATTGATGGGGGAAAATCGAAAAAATTAATTCAATTTTAGAAATGTTGGGCGGGCCGCATTAACATTTTAACAGGCCGCAAACAGTCCGCGGGCCGCGAGTTGCTCATCCCTGGCTGATAGTACATGCACCAACTAGTCGTGATTAGGTCTAACTATAATCTAGGTTGACTGTATTCCAAATAAGTACTCGTATCATCTGATATAAAAACATGTTTGGTTCAAGTATACGACCTCATTTTTTAACATGATTCTCATAGAGTAATAATGTTTATAACTAGTTGACTCCACCACTTCGGATGCATGTATATGAGTAGATAGTCATCTATTAACATTGAGCAAATAACAATAATTAAAGCATTTATACAACGCCATCTGTTATTTGAATAATGAATTATTTAATAAAATTGTAGGTGGCGTATTAATAACTAGCTTTCCGCCCGCGACTTCACTCGCGTCATAGGATATACATAGATATAGGATAGGTTATCCTATCACTCGTTTAAACATCCGTGCAGTAGCGGGACGTTATATATCTTAAACCTTCCTCTTGAGTCACTCTATCTATTCAATTTATTAAATAAAAACGACTCAAAATACGCGTAGTTTTTTAATAAAAAGGTCAAAACATACACTTAAATTTTATTTATTTGTTTAGATTACTTTCTGTTCTTATCCAATGGTTACATGTTAGATAATCATCATTGTATAGTATAAAACAAAGTCGCTGTCATTGTCTGTCCGTCCCTATGTATGCTTGAATCTTTAAAACTACGCAACGGATTTTGAAGCGGTTTGTTTTAATAGATAGAGTGATTCAAGAGGAAGGTTTATATATATAATAAATGTACACCCGTGCGAAGCCGGGGCGAGTAGCTAGTGTAGAAATAAAAGAGTTAGGATTGCATCATTTTTGTGTTAGTAATGTGGAACAAAAGGGTTTTCTTTTCTTAACATGTTGAATAAGAAAAGAATTCCCGAGTATGATGCCTGATGCGATCAATTACAAACGAAAACACACAACACCGACCTGAAATAATTAGACAAAAGCAAGCCGATGATGAAATTTTGTTTCATAATATCTATTCCTGCGATTCGATATTAAGTACAGTCGACTTCATAAATATATTAGAGACAGGTGCTTCGATGTATTAAAGTTACTCATTTAAAATTATCAAATATATACATATAAATAGAATTGAAGTGTCTGTTTGTAATATTGAAATAACATTTTTTAACTACATGCATGTGAATACAAATACGGTACATATACCAAAAGAACAATTTTTACTATTCTTGTCTGTCTGTTTGTTCCGGCTAATCTCTGAAATGATATTGACCGGACTTTTATTGGCAGGCAGCTGTTGTAGTAAGGCGTAACTTAGGCTACCTGTATTTTAAAAAAGTAAAGTTAAATTCCACGCGGACGAAGTTGCGGTTGTGATCTAGTAATAAGTGTACTAATTACCTTACAGTGAAAGCAATTTATTAAAAAGAAATGAATAAGTATGTTCTAAAGTGTTATTTAAAATTGAATTCTATTGTTAAGATATTAGGGACTACTTTGAGTGGTTTAAAAGTTTTAAATGTACCCGTATTACTTATGCATTGCTGATTAAGTTATTATTACTCAGTACTTTGTTTAATATTATTAAAATTTATTATTATTATTACATTACGGACTCGGTGGTTTAGCTCACCGCCTTATTACCAATGGTCGCGGGTTCGGTTCTTCGCATGGTACAAACATTTGTACTCATGAGTATGATTGTATTTATCGGTCTGGGTGTTTTCTATGTATATTATAAAAAAATATTGTATTTACAAAAAAGTATGTGTATATGTATTTATATTATATTATTAATTATTATTAATTACTCATATAAATAATAATAATTATTATTATTTATATGAGTTGTCTAATAACCATAACACAAGCTCTGCTTAGCTTGGGACTAGATGGCGCAGCGTGAATTGTCCTGAAATATTATAATATAAAAAATATTGTATTATAAATTACCACATATAGGACATATATGAAGCTGACTGTACCTATATTAAATTCGGAATCTGAACGTAAAAAGTTTATTGTTTCTGGCCACAGCAGCTGTAGTGAGCTAAAAATAATTTTCCTCACTGAGATTGTACAAGAATCGGTACTTACCGAGTCTACATTTAACGGTAAACAGTGTCCGTTTATCGATTCGATATTTATAAACAAGATTCTGTATATGTACGTACCTATTTATATGGTCATAATAATTTTATAACAGGACGACTTCGTGCGGAAAAATATGATATAATATCTGCATATAGGCCATTGAATTTATATTAAAATAAAAAAATATATATAAGTATATTAATATATATTATCTATACATCTATACATATAAATAAAATTGGTTGTCTGTTTGTAATATTGAATTAACCGTCTTTTACTAAATGCATATGAATATAAATACGGTACATATACCAAATTAACATTTTTTACAATTTTTGTCTGTCTGTCTGTCTGTTTGTTCCGGCTAATATCTGTAATGGCTGGACCGATTTTGACGGGACTTTTTTTGACAGGTAGCTGATGTAATAAGGTGTAACTTAGGCTACTTTTATTTTAGAAAAAATATTTTATTCAAGAAATTAAGGTAATGTCCACGCGGACGAAGTTGCGGTATCAGCTAGTTTATAATATAATTAACTAAATGTGTTACTTACTGCATATGAGTTATTATTATATACTTGTGGTAACAAAAACACTTTATAGGTATGTTATAATATGTTTATATATTAGATATAATATCAAGTAATATAAGCTGTAATTTATTTTGAAAACATATGAAATAATAATAATAATCTCAGGACAAGTCACACAACGCCATCTAGAGTCTAGATCCAAGTTAAGCTTGTGTTATGGGTACTAGAATAAATATGGATACAAATACATAGATATATTTTTTCGTATTTACGAAAAAAATACATACATAATATACATAGGAAATAACCAGACGGATACAATTATATTCGTGAATACAAATGTTTGTGCTGTGCGAGGAATCAAACCCGCGACCATCGGAAGTAAGGCGGTGTGCTAAATCGCTAGACCTCCGAGGCCGACCGTAAATCCATAATAATCATTATTACTTATAATATTACGACGATGTAACTTTTTTCATGTATAGAGTACCATCTAATTTTATCTCGTTTATAACTGTAAGTGATAAAGAAAACTAGGGAACTGAATAACATACATTATCAAAGAAATACTACAAATTAGGACCAGTAGGGGGCGGAATAATAAAATAAAGTGTCTATTTAGAATTTAGAACTTAGAACTAAAATTTAGAATTTCGTATTCGAAATATACAATTTTATAAATATAATATAGACTAAGACTAATGTACCTAATGTCTTAGTCTATGTTATATCGATAACATTGACATAATTGTCAAAAGATCAATATTTTTCGACTAATCTATGAATATCGATCATCTCTAAGCGTAATATTTTACATCCTTGATACATGTATAGAGGTAATAAATAGAATGAGGTAACGATTATAATTTGGTATTCCAAATATAAAATTTTATAAATATAACATAGACTAAGTGGCCTGTATTCCACAACCACGACTAAATGAATAAATAGAATGATAATCTATGAATATCGATCACCTCTAAGCTTAATATTTTTCATCGTTGTTACATGTGTAGAGGGAATAAATAGAATGAAGTAACAATTATAATTTGGTATTCGAAATATAAAATTTTATAAATATAACATAGACTAAGTGGCCTGTATTCCACAACCACGACTAAATGAATAAATAGAAGGATAATCTATGAATATCGATCACCTCTAAGCTTAATATTTGTCATCGTTGTTACATGTGTAGAGGGAATAAATAGAATGAAGTAACAATTATAATTTGGTATTCGAAATATAAAATTTTATAAATAAAACATAGACTAAGTGGCCTGTATTCCACAACCACGACTAAATGAATAAATAGAATGATAATCTATGAATATCGATCACCTCTAAGCTTAATATTTTTCATCGTTGTTACATGTGTAGAGGGAATAAATAGAATGAAGTAACAATTATAATTTGGTATTCGAAATATAAAATTTTATAAATATAACATAGACTAAGTGGCCTGTATTCCAAAACATTTTTTGTCGATGTCATCGAAGACTTGACATAGATGTCAAAACATCGATGTTTCTCGACTAATTTATGAATATCGAACATCCCTATACGTAATACTTTTTACCCGTGATACATCTAATATTGTGTAGATAGAGAGATTTATAGAATGAAGTGACAGTTTAGAATTTGGTATTCGAAATATAAAATTTTATAAATATAACATAGACTAAGTGGCCTGTATTCCAAAACATTTTTTGTCGATGTCATCGAAGACTTGACATAGATGTCAAAACATCGATGTTTCTCGACTAATTTATGAATATCGAACATCCCTATACGTAATACTTTTTACCCGTGATACATCTAATCTTGTGTAGATAG